ATACATTGCGAATTGATCTTCACGTACCTTACTTAGTTCGAGTGCCCAATCAAATCTCTTGAAATAGTCCTGTACCGTTGTACCATCTGTCGTACGATATTCCGACATAGAAAATCCCGGTGGTTTTGAGTGGGAAACTGTGGCCTCCGCCTGGACGTTTGGGTTTCCACCAGCATTTTCCCGCAGAGCGGTTGCAATTAATTGCGCGAATGATTGCAATAATTCCGGAGGTACGTTTGCCATATCGATTGTTTGAAGTATTTTCAAGGTTCTAAATTCCGGACCGCAATGCCCCTTTACCAGTCTTCAATTTCCGGTTTCTAGTTTAAAGTTTCTAGTGCTCATTCATCAGTTACCAATCTCTATTCTCCATTTCCGGTTTAAAGTTTCTATTTTACAGCTTCCAGTTCCGAGTTTCTATTTTCTAGCTCAGCTTTCAGCCTTCAGTTTCCAGTCTCTAGTATCCAGTTTCCAGTCTCAGTCTGTAATTCCTAGTCTCCAAATTCCAGTCTCCACTTTATAATCACCAGTTTCCCGTCTCCGGTTTCCAATCACCAGTTTCCAGTCTCCAGTATTCAGTTTCCAGTCTGTATTTTGAAGTCTCCATTTTCGTCTCGAGTTACCAGTCTCCAATTTCTAACCTTCAGCGTCTCTAGCGTCTTGATTTCTCTTAAGTATCTGGAGTGCTTTCCAGTACACATAGACCTTAATCTATGATCTTCAGTACCTAATTACCATTGTCCATTCTCCTATTTCTAGAGTGTTTTCACTCGGCCGTCGCTTTCAAGTTTTCAGTGCTCAGCTTCCAACTTCCAGTTTTCAATATCAATCTGTAGTTTCTAGTCCACTGCCTCCAGTCACCAGTTTCCGGTCACCTGTGTCCAATCTTTAGTTTCCAGTCTCCAATTCCCAGTCTTCAATGTCCAGTTCCAAACCTTCAGTTTCCAGTCTCCAGTCTGAAGTAGACTTGGGCTTCTGGAGTGGTATGTTTTGTGGAGTGGAGTTTTCAGTATATTGTCTCCAGTTTCCAGTCTCTAGTTTCCAGTTTCCAATCTTCAGTTTCCAGTCTCCAGTCTCTAGTTTCCAGTCTTTTATTTCCAGTTCCAATCTGCAGTTTTTAGTTTCGCGTTTCCACTTTCCATTTTCCAACATCTCGAGCGCTTTAGTACATCTTAAGTGTTTCCATTCTCTTATTTTCGGACTTCAGTGTTTAGTGTCTTTTTCTCTAGTTTCCAGTTTCTGTTCCCAGTATTTCTAGCGCTTTGGGTTGTCTTAAGCGTCTAGAGTGCTTTCCGGTTTTTACATTACGAATTTTAATGTGTACTTTCAATTTGCAGGTTCCGCTCTCTAAGCACCATTCTCCATTCTATTTCTGGTCCGTAGTTTCCAATTTCTAGTCTCTAGCATTCAGTTTCTAGTCTCCAGTGTATAGTCTACAGTTTCCAATTTCTAGTCTACAGTGTCCATTTTTTAGTTTCAAGCCTTCAAGTTGTGGTTGTCAGCATCTCGAAAGCCTTGGGTTACCTTAAGTGTCTGGAGTGCTTTCCAGTATCCACATTGACAGTTTGGCTTATTGAAAACTGTAGACTGGAAACTGTAGACTGGAAACTGTATACTGGAAACTGTGGACAGGAAACTGTAGACTGGAAACTGTAGACTGGAAACTGTAGACTGGAAACTGTGGACTGGACACTGTGGACTGGAAACTGTAGACGGGAAAGTGTAGACTGGATACTGTGGACTGGAAACTGTAGACTGGAAACTGTAGACTGGAAACTGTAGACTGGAAACTGTAGGCTGGAAACTGAAACCTGGAAACTGTAGACTGGAAACTGTAGACTGGAAACTGTAGACTGGAAACTGTAGACTGGAAACTGTAGACTGGAAACTGTAGACTGGAAACTGTAGACTGGAAACTGTAGACTGGAAACTGAAGACTGGAAACTGTAAGCTGGAAACTGTAAGCTGGAAACTGTAGGCTGGAAACTGTAGGCTGGAAACTGTATACTGAAAACCGTAGACTGGAAACGGTAGACTGGAAACTGTATACTGGAAAATGTAGACTGGAAACTGTAGACTGGAAACTGTAGACTGGAAACTGTACACTGGAAAATGTAGACTGGAAACTGTAGACTGGAAACTGTAGACTGGAAACTGTAGACTGGAAACTGTAGACTTGAAA